GCCTCATGTTGATTTTGACTTGGTTTGATCTTCGTTATGCTTTGATCTGACATGACGGCGTCCACACAACCGGCCGTCCTGTTCAATGTTGCAGATATGGGCGTAGCGACAAGTGGCAGCGCTGCGGGTGCATTCGCCACTATTCCATTTGCGACATGGTTCTCTTTTGACGAGAAGATCTCGTCCTGCTCCCGTGGCTTTGCTAGATTCTCCCGAGTCATTGTGTAACCTTCCTCCGGCAGAGAAATGGGAGCTGTAGATGTCTTTGAAGCATTCAAAGTCGGACAACTCATACCTTCGAGTGTTTCCGACTCTAAATCTGACTGATTTGTCATATCGGAGGACGCGTCCATGGTAACTCTCCAATTGTTGGTCGAACTGCTCGTTGATGTGCTCGGAGTAGGCGTTAAGTTCAGCCTGTCTGAACGGGAAAGCGAATTTGAGGGCTCGTGCAGCCCTGTTCCATGCCGCGTTCCATTGGCCTTGTGTAGTGATCTTCTTCGTGGCCATCTCTGATACTCCATAGGTGAGCTCAATGTCCCCAATGGTCTCCTTGTGCTTGTCAACGGCTCGTGAAGTGGTGATGATGGTGTGGATGGCGTCGAGATTGATGCTTCGTCCTGCAACAATGTCCGCCCATCCTGACTCATGAAATTCTGGGCTGCGTTCATGGTACATGAGTTTGAGCTTAGCTTGTTTCTGATCCTGTGCCCAGTTCTGTAAGATGCGGATGGTGAGTTTGAGATTGGGTGATAATGGTTTGGCGGGTTCTTCGAGGACTGATGGCTTAAATTCAAGACAGGTAAAGTCGAGCTTTGCTCGTTTTCGAGCAGGTTCTCCTGGCTCAATGCTAACATCCCGACTCCTAATCTCTGCTGGAGACTCCTTTTCGAACCGCGAGTTCGACGTTGGTTCAACCGAACGTTCTCTAGCGGCTCCGGCTCCTGCTCCTCTGTAGTTGGCTTGGTCTTGCTCCGACTCCCATTCGTCGAGCATTCCGAGGTAGATAGCCGCAACCGTAATGGGATTTTCACCTGATCCAAGGGGTAGACTTTCTTTGATGATTGTGGAGATGACGTAGGAAGCTTCAAACTTTGTGCACTTGCATGCTTTAAACTCTCTGACGACGTCAAGGCACCTCTTCGCCACGTCTTGTTGGGGTAGATGCGCTCCATCAGTGTCGGTCTCAACCGAAGTCCCTCGCATTCCTGGTCCCCTAAGCGAAGATTGTGTTTGCGACGAGTTGGCGGCATTGTTATTTGAGGTACTCGGGTCTGACATATGTTTTGGAAGTATGACCGAATTTCAACAGCGTTTAAATTCAAGTTTTGACGAAAAATATATAGAGTAGATAGTGCAGAACGTGCACGAGCAGAAGTGCTTTAGGGGACAAGTGTGCGACGTGAAAACGGATCACGTCAGTTAGACACTTAAATATCCAGATGAAAAGGGGCCTGTAAGAATGACGCTGAGTCATGAGGCTTACCAGCATCGTGAATCGATTCAACTTGGTTAAACAAGTTTAACCCCGAATAAACATTGTGACATCAGTTAATATTCGATTGCTCCCATTTCTTTTGGGATATGTCAGCGCGCTCGGAAGGCTTTTTCGGTGGGACAAATACATACAAACCTCGCGCCACTACAAGTTTTGCCAGTCGGCTTGGTGTGTAGAGTCTCAAAGTTGCGGTGTTTGAAATTATGTTGTACATATTTGGTTTTCGGCTAAGGTAACAGTATGAAGACTCTCTCACACCTGCCGATGGTTTGGAGTCTGCGGAATATGTACAAAGTCGTACTAGTACTAGTGTAACGTTCGGACCGATGCCTATACAATAGCACACCGATCACATTCGCGAAGCGCGCCACAAATAGTATTGATTGTATTGCGCGACCCTGGACGCGAATACTAATACGCTATCGCAATTTAATGATGATGAGTCAGGTAAAAAAAAAATGCTTCAGCATACATATAAAATTATAAATGGAGGTGCCCGAAACGCACCATTCCTTCATCCCTTGAATTCATGTCGTTGGACTGGAGAGACATCTGCATCGGCGCCTTGATCTGTGCCACTTTCGTTGGTGCGGTCCGTCGTGGTATGGAGAAGCGAAAAATGCCTCCGCTGCCGCCGGGACCGCGGCCAATTCCACTCATTGGTAATATTCGGGGGGTCGACATCAATGCACCATGGCTAGCTTACACGGAATGGGGCAAACAATACGGTGCGTGCATAACATGGAAACATCGTGAACATATGGATACACTGAATTTCGCTCAATGGTCTCATGGCAGGCGAAATTGTATACTCGAATCTTTTAGGCCAACATATTGTTGTGATCAACTCCGAGAAAGTGGCGGTTGAGCTTTTGGAGAAGCGGTCATACAACTACTCTGACAGGCCGGACCTTCCAACAAACACTCTGTGGGAGCCATATTTAACTAACCACCCAGCGTAGCTCTTGACATAGCGTCTTCAATAGTTTTGGGTTCGATTTCAATACCATACTCATGAAATACGGAGCTCGCTGGCGTCGCCAAAGAAGGATATTCCATCAAGCATTCAGGGCAGAGGCAGCTTTATGTTATCGTCCTATGCAGCGGCGGAAGGCCGAGCAGCTTATTCGTGACATGCTTGATACACCAGAGAAATTCCTAAACCATGTTCAAGTGTAAGTCTTCTCCTGGTATCGACTGGTGCGGTGTATTATTAATACCGGAATTCTCTGCTAGATTTTCATCTTCCGTGATAATGTCGGCTTCATATGACTATGAAACAAAACACGACGATCCATTAGTGAAGTTTATTGGAAAGTCACTGAGGTTGGCTGTGCAGGAACTCAGACCTGAGGTAGCTACCGTGTTCAACGCATTCCCAATTCGTGAGTCTTTAGTTGTATTTTCTGGGCTCGACTGAATACTGTCTATGTAGTTCTACGACTACCAGCATGGTTTCCCGGTATGTCGCTCAAGAAGAAGGCCGTCCAGTCACACGAATGGCTGCGACAGTGGATGCACGATCCTTTCCAGTATGTGCTCGAAAGAACGGTATGCTGTCAAATATCTCCATATTTGCACCTAACATGTTCCGAAAGGCTGAGGGCAAAGCCCAATCATCCATGGTTTCAAATGCCCTCAGACGAATCGGCGGAAAAGATACTTCTGATGAGATCACAACCATCAAAGAAAGTGCAGCCACAGCGTTTGGAGGTGAGTACCAGTCGGATACAGTATGCCGGAATAATATTGACGAGCACTGTACGAGCAGCTGCTTCCGAAACGGTATTTCGTTTTCGAGTATTTTATCTTGCACTGCTCTGATTTTTACTTAGACGGATTTGATATTGCAAGTATTCATCCTTGCTATGGTACTCTTCCCAGAAGTACAAGTGAAAGCCCACACTTTGATTGATACTGTCGTTGGCGCGTCGAGGTTGCCGACCTTCGAAGATAGATCGTCCTTGCAATATATCGATGCTATCCTCCGGGAAACTCTTCGTTGGCATCCCATTTTACCCCTATGTGCGTGTACGATTTTTAGGCCCCCATCAATTTCTTACGAAATTGTGTAGCGGTACCGCATGCGTCGATGAACAGCGACGTCTACGAGGGATACTACATACCCAAAGGCACGAAACTTCATGTTTTCTGATGAAGTTCTTTGCTAACCTCGTAAACAGGAACCGTTGTTGTGCCAAATGTGTGGTGAGTCTACATGTCCAAGGGATCATCATCCAGAGGCCAACTGCTTTATAGGGCAATGTCACAAAATGAACAGAAATACCCAAATCCTTCGCAATTCTCGCCCGAGCGCTTCCTGGATGCTGATGGCAACCTCAATGACGATACCGTCAATATAGCATTTGGATTTGGGAGAAGGTTTGTCATGATATCTCTTTTTCAGATGCCATCTAATATCCTGGTGATAATGTAGGATCTGTGTTGGCCGACATTTTGCAGACGCATCTCTATGGATAGCAATTTCTTCCCTACTTGCCGTGTTTACATTTTCGAAACGAATCGGTGCAGATGGGGAGGTCATTGATTTTGAACCACGATGGTCCAGTGGTATCGCAACGTGTGTTCGCTCTCGTTCCTCTCTGTGTCTCCACTAATAAGACCTCTTCAGTCACCCGCTACCCTTTCCGTGCAGCATCACTCCGAGGCTCCGCAAGGTAACTTGAATATATGATCACTAGTCTAGCTATTTACATCGAACGGACTATTTACACGAGTAGTTACATGTGGTTTCATTTTGACTGCTTCTCCAGTAATGCACTCTTTCTGCAACAATGTGTCGGTCAAGGAAATCATGTTGATGGGCTATATCTACAATATTTAAGCACGAGATACCGCCGGCTCGGGCGCAATTGTGTCCACTACGCCATGCTGTGTCGCTGCACGTTGAGTATATACCAAGTAGTTTTCTTGCAAGTCAAAGACAACGCTAGGACAACGGACTCTTCTGCATCGTAACTCTCCACTGGACTAACACGGTCTTGGTGGTTAAAACGATCTCCACATTCACGAGACAGAAAATTTCACGAGTTCCAACGAGCCAGAAATACCCTTCGAGGGCCACGTCCATAATATCAAAAGCCTAGAAGACTTGCGTACAATATTATGAATCATAGATGCTCATATTAATTTTTGATCTAGTCCATCATGCGATGAGTCGAGTTAAAGGAGGGCGTGAACTTGCGGCCTAGCCTCTGCTTTCAAACTGAGTCGGCTATTGTGGGTTAGATGTGGCTCATCGGGGAAGGAAATCAGTGATCCACTCGCACCGCACACCATACTCTGTTGGAATAACAATGGTCATGTCACGTTCCACAATTCGAGGATGTTCCCGAGACAAAATCCACAACAGCTTGAATATAAATCCAGGTAGTCTATGGGCTTAAACCTTGAACACACCTGCTTGTGATTACCGTCGTCTGCTCTCTTGGTAAGAACATGGAATAAGAAACTCAGCCGACTGCAACTGACCTACTTCCAGAGCCATATCTTAATATGTCTGCCGAAGAAACATACTATAACGTCGAAGTTATCCAGTTTTGGCGAGGCGAGATAGAGTACCTTCGGCCCCATCCCCTTCACTGGGTCATCTACGTCCCAACCGGTCCTGGTGTCGGAAACACGTACCACCTCCTGGGAGACACAGAGAACTACACCATGGAGTTCAGGCGTAACCAGCCACATGTCAACCCTGATGACTGGCGCGGAAGCCACACCATGGGAAGAGTGGCTGCAAGTAAGTTGGCCCTTTTCGAATGGAACCTCGCGAGCGTTCCGATCACGCATAACGACCCCCGATGGAACAGCCAGAACTGGGTGTGGGACGGTCTTCGCCGCCTCCGCCATCAACGTTTTGAGATCAGCTGGGAGCTTAGACAATGCGACCTTCAAACAAAGATGTGCTGCCTGTTGGAGGACTGGGATTTCGGTCGAATTTAGAGGTGGAGATCTGGCGTGCCCGAGTGGTTGATCAAGTATTTAATGTTCTTATTCAGAGTCATTGGGAGCACTCACCATAAATTCAAGACGTTTGTAATTGCCATGTGAATCATCATCAACATCATAGACATCTTGGGTGATCGTGAGTGCCCTTCATTGTCCTGACTGAATAAAGACTCAAGATCCACTCAATTTCTGTCGCTCTGACAGACAGAAATTATGCGTGAAAGGATGACGTCCCATTCCTTCGTATTGCCAGTTGGAGATGGCCACTTGCGTGTCTCTCGCGTGTGAGTCGGGCGAAGGAGGCTATGATGAAGTAAATAGTAATTTGTGTTCCTTCAATATGAGCGAAGCACTGCTAGCAAGACGCGACGGTAGATCAGGATTAATGGCCCCATTATCTCAGTTTGACCTGCAGTGATCCAAATCGACAGCAATAGATCTGGAAATTCAAGCTTCAAGCTTCCAGGCTTGGGCTACAGTAACGCGATGCCACTTGAAGTCAGACGCACAGTGAACAAGCTAAAAACTTTTGTCAGTACTTTGCCTTCCAAGGAGAAAAATTTGAACAGCCTGCTGTGAGCACGCTGGTTTACCTGAGTCCCGTACTCAGTACTGTATGTACATGAAAGGTAAGTTTTCCAGATTTCAGCGTAACGGTTATGCGCGTGTTGAATTGATGGACAGAAATTAGCAGCTGACTAAGGCGGGGTACTTGCGCACGGACTTTCATGCAAGCAGAACCCTCGTGCCAAGGACTATATACAACCAACCTCGCAAGGCCCTTTTCACCCCACTTCATTGGACATCCACACAAAAACTTTGTCAGTGAACGGACCCGCTGAGCGCCATAACGCCGACTCCCAGACAAATAAAACAAGCACGTTACGTCATTTGTCCTCCCATCAATCGATGGAAAGTGCAGATTCTCCAAGGCTGAATGAACTTCCGATATCGACGAGTTGGTGAGGGTAAAGACCCGCAATGTCGAGCTGATTGTCGGCCTGCGTCTCCTTGGTGCAGATAATATTGTCACCATTGTTCCTCCGTTCCTCTTTGATATTCCTGATGCCAGCGTACGGGCGCATCAGAGAACCTGTGAGAAGAAGATATCGTCATATATCGTCATATATCGTAATATATAGGAAAGGTTTTCGTCACATTGGAATATAAAGTGATATAAAGCAATATATGACTATGTAAAAGCACCATAATCAGCATAATCCCCAGCAAGAACTCACCGGTTTACTGATGCGCCACTCTACAGAGCATAACCCGTATCCAGACACGACAGCTGTATCGCTATTCTGTGCGTAGCGCTCCGATCATCCTCAGCTTTGTGCTCATTAGCCAGACGCTCGACGTTGAGCTTGTGTTCTTGTATAACATAAAAAAAGGAATCATGGATCATGTGCTAGATATACAAGTTAGGTATGATTTTGAACCTCGTCTTCTCTTCCGATATTCCCAACAGGTAATACCGCAGATTTGAATGGGAGAACCACATCCATCTCGCTGACTTCAACGTAGATTTCTCCTTCATTGTGTCCTCTCCTCCATTGGACACGACTGAGTTCTGCATGGTTGAGCAACCATGCCGGATCGACATGGTAAGTTGCAGCCAAGCACCGGATGCTTAGCATCGCGCGACAGATAGAGACAGCCGTAGCTGCCATTGCTATTCTGGATGATAAATGTTGCTCGTTAACTTTAGTAAACTGCCATGGACGGAACAATCTCACTCTCCCATATCACCTAAACCAAAATTCTGGTAACGGTAACGCATTTTTCGTGCAGCTATGGCTATAAAACTTACGGATATGTCCTCTGGTTTAATCAGAGAAAGACTGATAATTTCGTACAGCAGCGATCCTGTTATTTGCTTGAGCATCTGCAAAACGAAGAGAATCGAGGTATATTCACCGGCTGCAAACGAATACAAGATCATTCCCCTAAGCAAACATTAACTCCCATGGTAGAACTTGTGATCAATAGGGGCTTACTCTTTGACGAATCGGTGGATCATCCCGTGTTGCTGCAAGGTTCTGGGGGTAACGCGAAAGCGATACAGCGTGAGTAAGAACATAGTCGTATGGACAACCAAGGCCGGCAGGTAGAGGATGAATGAAAATGTACGGCGGCACTGTGCCGATATTGAATCATTGTTCGTGTGCGCGGCACTTTTGATTGCATTATACTTGATGGCGTCAAATATTGCACCTCCTGCCAAGCAAGCGGTGAAAATAGTGACTGCCAACCATCTGATGAAGCGACTCCGAGGAAACAGATGCCATACTCGCAATGTTATAACACCTGTATACCAGTCGATTCAGTGGAATCAATCAATGTGCAAGGGACATACATTGGCATAGAATCATGACTGTTAATCTAACAGTGTATTCAAGTATAGCAGACCTACATCAATCTGTAAGTTGGTCTGTTGCCTTGTCGTAGTATGAAACAGCCCACCCCTGTAGAACAATGCATGTAAGACCCCAACGACGATATGCGGCGATGCGCAGCTCAAAAACTCACAAGATCGTAGTGAACCTTGGCTACTCCCATCGTCGTCACAGCATTAAGACTAAAAGATATTATCATTTCTAGTGCATTTATTATTATTAAATGAAGTCAAACACACCAAACTTGCGCAAGAGCCAAGTATCGGATCTGTCGGACCTGAAATTAGTCACTGAGAAGAATAATATGATTCGTAACGGCATTACCATGAAATACAGTATTCTTGACAGTGACCATGAACTGGACCAAAAGAAAGTCACCTAAAATAAACGATGGCGGTGAATCAGGGTCAGATTGTCATCGACTGTGAAGACGAAAGTACTTCTTGAGCGAATGTCATAGCATGATCGTACACCACAAGAGTGAATGATACAACTTGAACGGCAAGAGGCAGTTGCTGAACAGCAATATTAATGCCCGCTGACTGCACCTGTGCGGACATAACAAAGTATGTGTGCCCTCGAGTGTTGACAACGTTGAGATTTGAGAGCTCACAGTGCCCTCTGTGGGTTGCATCAAGAAAGGCTGATTAGTGCTATATACTATATCCCCACCGTGATGAACGGGAGGCGAAGCTGATGGATAGCACTTACCAGTACAGCTGTACCGTATATGCAGGGATGATGCATCATCAATCCTATTCATTCATCATATCTTTGTCAGTTTTGTGCCGAAGTTCCTCTCATGCTTCTATTCCGTGTGATGGTGGTGCCGGTGAAGTGTTCTGCCGGTTAATGAACATTTAGCGTACGTTTATCGATCAACGGAACGTTTGGAGTACCAGAAGTCCTGTCTGGATTCAGATAACATTATGATTGGTCGACAAAGCAAATTGAAACTCAGAGTCGTAAAAGCGATACAGTTTGAGTAAGAACCTGGTCGAATGGACGACCAAGGGTAGCAAGTACATGTATATACAGGTGTGTCTGCTTCGAGCTCTCGTGGTTCCTGTTGTGTAGATGACAAGAACAGAGACCGCCAGCCATCTGATGAAGCAACTCCTAGGTAATAGATAACATACTCGTAATGTCACGACACTGCCTGCACGCACCCGCTGGTCAATTCAGTAAAGTCGATGGATACACGAAAATACATACATCGACAGAGTGTCACAGGTCATGACTACAAATGCAAGCGTGTGGTTCGCAATAAAAAACAGGTTTGATCTATTTCAACATGTAAGCCTTTTTTGGAGCCTTATCGTGTTGAACAGCTCACTTCTGAAGAGCTGTGAGTGAGACCTAATAAATTGAGAAGTATGCACAGCAGCACCATGACTGAAAGTCTGTCCTGTTATTGTAATTCGATCAGTTGCCACAGCACGACGAAGAATGTTCGAGCCGACTGACCATAAAAGATGAAACTAATCAGTCGTGTCAGAGCCAAGTTTCGGATCTATCAAACTCAAGTAAAATCGCCAACAATGTAAATTTATATAACCCAGAATTACCATGAGATATAAGACTCTTGAAGTTGACCATGACCAGAAGGTGGCCTAGTAATAAAAGAATGACAGCGTCAGATCAGGGTTAAGTTATTATCAATTAGAACGGAGACGACTATACCTCTTGAGCGAACATGATGGTATGGTCGTACACCACAAGAGGAGAAGCTGATGGCATTGCATCTCAAACACATCTGACCTGCTCAGAAAGAGAAAGAAAAGATGACGCAAGTCTTGCATCGAATCATACATTGGCAGCATCAACTGATGAGTCTTTGGGGGTGTGTTATGTAAATTGCGGGGCCTTTACGTCGTAGTGAAAAGTAAAGGACATATTGTCAATATAACTTTCTTACCAGTCCTCTGATGCACTGTGCTGAGTCAACATTGAATGTTCATCGCATCGATATCATTATCAACCAAAGGTCTAAGACATACGACCCAAAGTCTCTCGAGAATCACTGATGCAGTAGCCGTGTCAGGAGAAACAGGAGTCTGGCATATATGTACTAGTGCACTCGCCTTGTCATCAACCATCTACTAACAGGAGCCATCAGCGGAAATCACTCGACATAGCACATGAGTCCTATAAATCCCACACTCGAAGCGCAAGCTAAAAATGTAAAGTTAAGATTTCAAGTTGAAACAAGGAGTGAATCACGCACTAGGCTACACAGCCTATCATGATGGTGATACGGCGGCTCGCCGGTACTCATTTAGACCGGCGAAACAGTCTCCATCGCTTGAACGTTGCATGAATCCAGCGTTGCTGTGCAAGCAATAATAGTCATGGGTGTTCTGCATTGTTGGCCCGATGTTCTAGCCCGGCGCCAATTTGGCCTTGGCGATTTCCTTTGTCCCATGGGACTGGCTCATGATAATGCTTGCAAGTTAAGCTTCGATATCGTAAATGCAGGTCAGCGGCAATCAGGAAGATAGAAAAGCAACGTGTGGACCAGTCCAACACGTTAGAGCAGCTGACCTGTATCATGTGTCATCAATTAATATCAACTTCGATAGCTTGAGCCTGAACTTAATCATGTGTCAGCATAACGGATACGACAACGCGGTCGACCTCGATAGAGCGAAGGAATCGTATGTGTATTTCATCCAGACTCCAGATGAATTCAAGGAAGAGGTTCATTAACGAATTTCTTTCAAGTTATCGGTGAAAGGCCGTTGATGAGACGGATAACATGGCAGTGCGCATGCGTGATGGGCTGGTTCCGAGACGTGATGGTGATGTTCTCATACTTGAATTTGATTATCACAGTTGAAGTTAGAACTGGATCGTCACTGAATAGAACGCGTGTGACAATCCTTGGGATATTCTCTCACACATCGTTGTCTATGTCGGAGACTTTGTTCCGGCATTATAATGCTCCCGCATTCTAACCTATTTGTACTCTCACAATTTCCATGCGAATTCTCATGGGCTCGTCTAAGTCCTCCCATTCATGGATATAACAGTCAGTCAGGCCTAAGCTAACATCACAATGTACGAGTCCCACCACAGGGCACCGGAGGTAAAAAAAGACGATAGGCAATATTGGGTCGAGAGTACGGAGAAGGCTGAAAGCGGTGAAAATAAATGAACAAAGACAGTGAATCGTAAATGTCTCAGTTATGTGGATAATTCTATTGAGAAACCCCCCGTGGGAAACAAACCCTTACAAACCCCACCCCCAAAATAGACCTTATCCAGAAACCTTCGTCAACCAATAATAGCCTCCATAGCGTCCGGCGCCAAATGGGCGATTTTCTTTCACCTTTAAGTCGTCGAATTCATCGAACTGACTAGCACGCGCTGTCTGCCGTTCGTCTGGCAATCAATCTAAAAACCACCATTACTTGTGCTATAAGGTATCAATAAAGGCCACTAGTAAAGTAAGTAACTGCAAAGTTTGAACCATCACTGAACCCAGTCACATGTTGCTCGTGTGTGTCCTGCCTGACGACAAAGGCCGCATTTGCGTGTGGACCTCTGACTCATGAGAGGTTGGCGAGAACGCGGGGTTTGAGTTGGGAGCTATTGGCTGAGTGCTGGGACAGCAGGTGTCATTGGAGCCAAGGTCCTCAAAGGTCCTCCTCCCTGAGATCTGCCCTCGATAGCGCCTGTGATCCGTGCTGTGCGAGGTCGTCCTTTCTGTCGAATACTTGGTGGGTCAAAGATCTGTCCGCTCGATTGCTCCTCAGCCCTTGCCCGCCTGGTGTGTTGGTGTGAACAAGACAATGAATTTAGCAAGAAAAACATGTACCGCAATTCACTAAGCTCCTCCTTGAGATCATCAAGGTCTTCTTGTGTGATAACACCATTAAGCAGTGGTTTAAGAAAACAAGCTGGAGTCTAGCAGTGCTCCCAGTAGTAGGTGAGGTTACGGAAATTCAGAACTCTGAACAGACAAACAAATGCTTAGCCACAAATATTATATTGTGAGAATTCGTGAACACAGGTACCAGAGTAGTAGACTTTTGAATCAAACTTGATTTCAATTTCCTTTGTTTGCAGCTACGACACACCAGCCAGTAGACTACAATGGTACAACCACTATCTACAATGTGAGCTACTCCCGATTGCCAGCCAGACCGTTAGCGAGAAACCCTCTAATGTTTGATGGATGTACATGGGTTTGGATTACTAAGCTACAAACCCTGGGGTTTGTTTCCCACGAGGGGTTTCTTAATAGAATTATCCCAGTTATGTACGTAATCAATTCCCGCGACACGTCCATTGACAGAAAAATGAGCATGTTTGCGTCTGACAAAACCCTTCTCCCACTTCGTGGGAGTCGGGGATTCTAATGTGCCTTGGAATCATTACAACCACCATTATGACTAGATTATGTTGTGATTACTGGGTGAACACCATAAAAATGCACATTACAATCTATTATAATATTCATCAAAATGTGTAATAAAATGCTGACTGTTATATAATAATGGATTATAATTGGCCTAGTCGTTAGGTCATTTTAATGGATTAAAATGCCATATAAAAACTTCCGACAATTACTAGTACTCTAATAGCAAAAGTCATTTACTCGAGTCCGAGTCAACGACAATTGTGTGGCATTATCGTCTTCTGTTTGAGTACTTGTGAGTTACCTTCCAACCACCCATTTTTCAAAATTTTCTGCACCTCGATGTAGTGCAACAAGGGCAAGTGTCACGAGTTCCAAATACAAATCATTATTCATTCCTTAATTCTAAATCCTTTAAGCGCCCAGTCACAGCACCCGTTCCTAAGAATATGTTTACTATTGAAGAAGTTCCTATTATTGCATCTATTGTAGAATTACCAGAGTCACGTGATCTATCGGACAATGCCGAAGATGTTGATGTCATGCCTCGCGATACTCTTGGAATGTTCCAGAGTCTTACTGCAGCTAGTGATGTCTCAGCTCCAAGCTGCATTTTTCAGAAAATGAGCATAACATGCTGAATAAAATTCCTAAATTCATGAAGATATTTATGCACATAGATTGAGCCAAAAGCCGAGAGGCATCTAAGGGGAATTCATACTGTGATGCATCATTGTTTTGCTATGAAGCAGCTCAGCAAATGGCTCAAAATTCAAGCCATTTGCTGAGCTGCTTCATAGCAAGACAATGATGCATAACAGTACGAATTCCCCTTAGATGCCTCTCGGCTTTTGGCTCAATCTATGTCCATAAATATCGTCATGAATTTAGGAATTTTATTCAGCATGTTATGCTCATTTTCTGAAAAATGCAGCTTGGAGCTGAGACATCACTAACTGCAGCTGCAGCACATGTTATGACATCATAGTTATATATAGAATCATATGATACCTTTAATTATTCTGATTGGTTAGTTAGTTCATACTCAGTTTCGATCTCAGTTTCAATATGTGTATATAGGTAGCTCATCGTAGTCAGTAATTCTTTAGTTCAAACCTCTTGTATCTCCAAGTGAGCAATACCAAGACGTACCTGCTGCCAACCTCCTCTGTGTGATTATTCTGTTGTTTGAGTCCT